TGAGTGTATCTATGCTACCTGCTTATTTTCTCTGAATATGATTTTTCGTCTACCCAATATCTAATCATCATTTTTTCCCCCTCTGGGCTTTGGTATACTTGCAATTTATTGCAACTCAAAACATGGCTGATGGTGGTTCACAAATCATACAAGCCTTAGACTGTAATTTGCCTCTAATGACTCTCTTATTAAAACCAACTCTCAGTTTACATTTGAAAAGGATTCACAGAATATTAATAATAATAACAATTATGCGGGGAGCCATACCAAAAAACCTTGGATGGTACTTCAAACATCTGCATATTAACAAAATTTCCATTTGTCAGTTACAAAAGACCACACTGCTTGGATGCACATGCTTATTATGTTGATACATTACGACATCCTAGATTTTTGGGAAGAACTTGATGCAAATGAAGGCCAACACCAGTTAAAGATCTGGCAGCTATGATTTCATGTTGTTGTGTATATAATTATTGGCACATATACTATGTCAGTACATTACAGCAGGGCTGTCAAACTCCTGGCTTACGGGCCAGATGCATCACACGTTGGCCAGGCCCACGCCCAGTTTAGCAAAGAGGGAAAAAGTCCTAATACATCACGTGACGACACCGAGATGCTGTTTTGACACCTGCCTTACAGCATCCTAAGTTCTAGGGAAGAACTTGATGCATATGAAGGCCAACACAGTCTAAGGAACTGGCAGCTGCAACTTCACATTATTGTGTATATATAATAATAATAAATAAGTAGAGACAAGGAAGATCAAGGAAGCATAAAGCAGCAAATAACAGGTATAGTCAAGAAAATCAGCAGATATGAAGTTTGAATTGCACACTACAAGAAGAATCTGTAATTTCAGTCAAATCAGAAACATTTCTACCAATCCACCAATGATGGTCTCATGAACTACCAATGAACCAGTCAACCACCTGACAAAGAAGAAATAGTACATTTTGGGTGCAGACATGGGACAACCCAAATAAATACAACAAGAATGCAGCTTGACTAAAAGAGGTAGATAAGAATTAAAAAAAGAAGTTGAAATGAGAGAACTTGTAATAACAGCAGAAATGGTGGCGAAATGGCAAGCAAGTTCAATAATTAGCATGGTTTTTGGTTGAAATATCTGACTGGTCTACACCATTGCCAAGCAGTTTAACAACATATTGCAAGGAGGTGAAATTGAAGAGTGGCTAACATCTGGCAAAATTTAGCTGATAATGAAAGGTCCAACAAAAAGGGAACTATAGGCCAATTACTTGCTTGCCAACAACTTTCAAATTGCTAACTAGTTGATACAGTCCAACAGTCCACTTAAAAACAAGCCCTTTTTACATGAACAGAAAGGAAACCACCCAAAAAGCAGAGGAACAAAAGATCAGCTCCTAATTGACAAGATGATTATGGAAAACTGCAAGAGAAGGAAGATCAACTTGAATGGAGATTAGATTGATTACCAGAAGGCACTTCCCTCCCTATTACATGATTGGATAATCGAGTGCCTAAAAGTAACAGGAGTCCGTAGAAATATCAGAAGCCTTGTGCAGAGAAAAATGGCACAACGGAAGATACTGTTACTGGTTAATGGTGATAGCCTGGAAGAGGTTAATATCAAAAAAGGAATCTTTCAAGAAGACTCACTATCACCACTACTATTTGCCATTGCACTGATTCCTTTGTCAACAATACTGAACAAGTCAGGCCATGGCTATCAAATGTCAAAAACATCTGCCAGGCTATCCTACCTTTTTTACACAATCTGAAACTGTATGGAAAACCACCCTCTGAAATAAAATAATTGCTCAACATTGTTTGTATTGCAATGGAGTCTGGACAGGACAAATGTGCTACTCTGACTGTTAGGATATGGTTTGAGCCTAACAAGTTGTCCAGGCAATATATGTGTTCTGTGACTTTAATATGAATATGTATTGTGTGACTTTAAAGTTTTCCTGCTGATTCATTGTAATGCTGAGTCATGCTGTAAATAGATAATCACTAGTTGTAAACGTATTTAAGAAAGGTACTGTAACGTATTCAGTTGATGATAAGCTACCATAGTGTGTGGAGTTGCTATCATTGTGCTATCATCGTTGGATGGATCTGCTACCATTGTGGTTTGTGAACCAGAGTGAGTTTGTTATTCTAACCAACTACTGTTTGTGTGGTAAGAAGATTTTTGTATCACTGGACTGATTTAACTGGCAAAGACTTGGATTGTTTAAAGACTATGAGATTGTTTTTTCACTATAAAGTAAACTTTTGATAAACCAGTTTGCACATCTCTTATTCATTGCTCTCAGCAACGTTTCTCTGTGTTCTACACTCTGCTGGTTGGTAACACAACAATATCCTTAACACTGACCATCAGCAGGGGAAAACTAGTGAACATTGGAGGAATTAGATGCCCTATGGAAATAACAACAAGGATCCGGATGAAGATGATCAGTAAAAATACCTGGGCATCTTTCAAGCTGACAACACCAAACACACTGAAGTCAAGAAGGTTAGAAGAGAACACATCATAAGAGGGAAGAAGACATTAAAATCCAAACATAGTTGAAGAAATATCATCAAGGCAATTAACACCTGGGCAATTCCAATCATTAAATACACAGCTGGAATAGTGGACTGGACTCAAGCAGAACTAAAAGCCCTGGATAGAAGACCAGAAAAATAATGACAATGAATCATGTCCTTCATCCATGCAGCGGTGTTGACAGACTCTATTTATCAAGGAACAAAGGTGGGTGTGGAATATTGCAAGTGCATCAGGCAGTTGAAGAAGACAAAAGGGCATTGGAAGAATATCTGAAGGACGGTGAAAAAGATGCACTGAAACTGGTACACCATGAAGACTCAGTGAATACCAAAGAGAAGAAGAGGTTATTTATTTTCTATCATTGCCCATATGTATATTACCTAAGATAAAATTTACTGTCCTGAGCAAATTCAATTGTGCAAGCAACATCAAGAAAGGAGTAAAGAGATGTTCAATATTTCACCCAATGTTAGAACTGAATCCAGTTGCAGATTAAGGGGTTTTTATGATCCTCGATAATAACCACCGCTTCTAACAACAAACAAGACAAAACTCAACTTAGTAGCTATCTGTTGGTAAGAGAAGGGTAACTTTTTCTTATGCATATAACTGGGTTGAAATCCACCAAATAGGTTTCCAATAATCATTGCAAATGTATTAAAAGACATAGTAGCTCTACAGAATACATTTTTGATCTCTCCATAGTTATTAGCTTAAGAGATCTAACTCCATTTGTATTCGAAACCTTCTTTTATCCATTATGCAAACAAAACTGTACAAATAACTACTGTGGAACAAATGAGCAGTTATGGGTCAGTAGTTACGTAGAAATCTTGCATTCCATCTATTGGGACAATCCTCCCTCTATTTCAGTCTAATTGAAAATTTACTGAAACTTGTTTAAGCATAAGGGCAAACTACAGTATTTCAGTTCAAAAAATGGCATGCAAGTTAAAGATTGAATCACACCCAACAACATCCAAGTGAGTATTAATAACACGCTGATAAATTAAGCAACACTATATTGGAAGAGAAATAAAGGCAAATATCCAAAAGGAATCTAGCCAAGAATGCTGAACATCAGAACTCACTAATTCCTTAACATCAATTTATTTCCTTTCTTTTGAGAGAAAGTTTTGTATGACACTTGTTCATTTACATGCGTGATATGGCTGTCTACTTCAAAACAATGATTCTGGGCAGTTAATACATAAAACATACTAACAACATAATACGAAGGTAAAAACTGTAATGTAAATATTGCAAAACCCTCCCCACACATATAACATACAGTAGGTAGTCCTAGATATACAATCTTTCATGTAAAAACCATCCAAAATTACAAAGGTGCTGAAAAAAGCAACTGAAGACCAGTCCTTGCACTTATGACCATCCCAGCATCCCAACAGTCACATAATCAAAATCAAAAAGACTCAGCAACCAGCATGTATTTTTATGATGGCTGCAGCATCCCAAGGTCAAGTGATCACCATTTCTACCTTTCCCAGGGGTTTCCATCAAGCAAAGTCAGTAGGGAAGCCAGATTTACTTAATCACCATAGCACAAAAGGTTGTAAAATTAGGTGTGATTCACTTAAGGACTGCATTGCTTAGCAACAGAAGTTTTGGTCTGAATTCACTTACCTGTAACTACACACTTAAAAACAAGTGACTCCTAATGCACAATCTGAAAAATAAATATGCAGCGATACATCCTGGGGTTAATTAATAGCCTGACCCAATGCCTGAAGGAAAAACCAAGTCATCAAGGCGCTAGAAAAAGCTCACAGGATGAGCGCTATCCAAATTTCAAGAATGCGGTTCTATGGGATGGGCACCCTGAGAGAGGAGATATTTTAAAACTTTGAGGGAGATGGGCAATCTACAAATATAAAATATAAATAATAAAATAAAATATAGAGGGCCTCGTGGCATTTGAGCACCTCATGGCAGTGTGACTGAACACGATTAATGTTGCTAGTTTCTGGGAAAGATCTGTTTAATTTGTAGATATTTTAATCTTGTATATTTTAAATTTTATGTCATATAGCATGCCTTATTTTAATTGTGATGCTTCTGACACGAATCAATATGAATAAACAATAAAATGTTTAGTGATAAATTGAAGAAAAGGGAAAGGGAGGAGCAAACTGAGTTATCTGACGTTACAGTTTATGATATCCTAGTGAAAGACATACCTTCAAGGCAGTGGTGGGTTATCCCCGGTTCTGTCTGGTTCTTTAGAACTGGTAGTAAAAATGGCGGGAGGCTCCACTCACCCCACCCACCCCTGAATGTCATAATTGACGATCTGCACACATGCTTCCATTGCAAACTGGTAGTAAAGATAAGTAGAACCCACCCCTGCTTTAAGGTTGGTTCCCTACTCAGATGAACTCTGTTGAAACAACTCCCTTGTTGAAAGTCATGCGCCCTAAACTATTGTACTCACCAGATTGAATGACTATGACAAAAGTCTAACGCGGAAATAATCTGTCGGAAGAACTTTCTGGCTTCTTTTGGTGTTAATCTTCCTTTCTTTACCAGATAATCGAAGAGCTCTCCACCTGACACATGTTCTAGCACCAAATATCTGAAACAAGGGGGAAAAATGTTTTTTTTTTTAAAAAAAATATGATCACACATATGTTTGAAAACACACAGAGAAAAAGTAATCTTCAAAATAACTAATACTTTTGTTTAAACTGCAGCGCAAGAACTTTTGAAAAATGGTGCACTTGAACATTTTTATCTGGGCAATTAGCGACTAAGCTTTTAGAGATCTTACAGTTTCTCAAGTAGAGATTTATCAAACAAAATTAAATTACTTCTCTGTTTTCAACGTCTTTTACTGATCGATTTCCAATGCTATGAGACAAAGTCAGTGTAAAAATATAGTAGATAATCATCTAAATGCAGTGTGTTTTCTAAAAGAACTTAACTGGTACAGAGGTGGTATTCAGCAGATTCTGACCAGTTCTGGAGAATCAGTAGCGGAAATTTTGAGTAGTTCAGAGAACCGGTAAATACCACCTCTGGCTGGCACCGCCCGCATCTATTCTCTACCTCCCGAGTCCCAGCTGATCGAGAGGAAATGGGGATTTTGCAGTAACCTTCCTCTGGAGTGGGGTGGGAATGGAGATTTTACAGTATCCTTCCCCTGCCACGCCCACCAAGCCATGCCATGCCCACCAAGCCACACCCACATTACCAGTAGTAAAAAATGTTGAATCCCACCACTGAACTGGTATGAATAAATAAATTACTTCATGATTACTTGCTGCTTGATGTAAAGGACAAGAAGGCACCTCCTTGACTCCAAATATACAAAGCCAGCCTTGCAGTTGACTAACTAGCAGGCATTAAATTTTCCAGGCTCGCAGCAGGTAACATCCGAAGATACTCAGCAACCCTCCTGTTTGTCCTCTGCCCAACATTTGCTACCTGAAGCAGTCATGTCATTCTACCTAGCAAGAAACTCAACCTTTGTGAAGCCTAAGGAATTCCTAAGCAATCTTGAGTGGGAATTCCTGTCCATAGGGGCATGTCATAAAATATGATTACAAGGTTTTAGATATAATCCCTTTTCTTTATATTCTCTGCTGTATAAAGAAGAACTGGATATTTATTTTATTTATGTTTATTTATTTATTTATTTATGTTTCTTCCCAACAACAGCAAAACAGTGGGCTGGCCTGAAGAACCCAAAGGTTATCTGGGAGATAGTGATAACTCAATAGACTGCGTATTATTGTTTATCACCTATCAAAGTCAGAAACAGAAACAATGAAATGAAAGAAGATATTTTGAAAACAGGCACTTCTGCCTTTTCAAGTGATTAGAAGAAGAAGAAATAAACCATGCATTGTAGTTTAGCAACACGAGGAGAGTGGCAGACCTGTTAGTTAAACAATGCTCAAGAATGAGGAGTGGTTGCACAAAGGAGGTTATGTAAATAAGGCAACATCCCAAGTACTCTGATCCTAAATTACTAATGCATCAGAGACGCTAACAGAAACAGTGTCTTTGCATGGAGACAATTATGTTTAAAATTGCCACTACCAGATGGCTTTGATTAAACAGTGTTACTTTAATGCCCAACTCCTGCTCAGTGCTCTTGTTGTAGGAACACAAATGTCAAACTCATTGGAATGGGAATACAACATACTTACCAAACACTCCAAGCTAGAACTATTAATTACAGGTTTATTACTTTGAACCTTTGCAGTCTTTGCTGAAGACATATTTGTACACATATTTGATTAACCAAGTTGCGGAGCAGTTCCCAGTGTGGGAGGTTCCTCCTGGGTTGCTGAAATAATTACTAGCATAGCTAATTTTGATTTACTATCCCTTTAAAGACCATTCAAAAAGCATGCAAATCTCATAGATATTTCTTTCTGACCTGTTTCTTCTTCCTCTACAGAAATTATTATACCCCCTTAAAAAGACACAAATCAAAACAAAACACCAAGACTGCATTGTGTGAGTTGAATCTTAAAATTACAGTCCCGAGAAAAGATGTAAAGTTCCTGTGCCGTTAACAATGCTCTACTGAATGAACAAAAACACAAGGTCAATGTCGTTCCCCCCCAAACAAATAACCCACTTTTTTTGATGGAAGATCAAAATGTCTGTCTGAACATTAATTGAAGCTCTCTTCTAGTATGAGATACAACTTTCAATCAATGTGTGACCAGGGGTCCTCGGCAGCTGTCTCCTGCAGAAGAGCTTCTAGCTGGGGGCCCTTTACGCATATAGATTTAACATGATAGAGTTCTTCTTTTTGGATTGGTTTGCTTTATATGCATGGATAATAGGGAGAAAAATGGGAAGTGTGGTTTATCAGCCTCTTTGAAACACTGCTATAGGTAGGGACTGTCTGAGTACATTAATATTGGGTCATGTTTCCCAAAAAAGGGAAAGGAAAGAAAAGAAACCAAAGAAGAAGTAGTATTAAAGCAAAGCATCAATGTTCTCATTCCACAATGTTGTTGTTTTTTTAATTTGATTTATATGCCGCCCTTCTCCGAAGACTCAGGGCGGCTTACAATGTGCTCAGCAATAGCCTTCATCCTTTTGTATATTTATACAAAGTCAGCTTATTGCCCCCACAACTGGGTCCTCATTTCACCTACCTTAGAAAGGATGGAAGGCTGAGTCAACCTTGAGCCTTGGCGAGATTCGAACCCTGCAGTAATTGCAGGCAGCTGGTCTTAATAAGCTTAATAACAGGGTGCCTTAAACCCCTGTACTACCAAGGCTCTTCTATGAACATTCTATCTGTCCTCATAGCATAACAATAAAAACAAGAGTTAGAGCTACACAACAGAAATGAATTATCCATAATTTGTTTTATGGTAAAGTGATCATCAGAAGCAAAAAAGAGGAAAAAAAGGTAATAACTTCCAAAATAAAGTCAAATAATAAATATAAAAATAAATATAAAAACAATAAAGTCACACAAGACTCCCAAAGACCTGATAACCTGACTCCCAAGATGAGGCCAGAGCAGAGGTGGGTTGCTACCGGTTTGCACCGGATCGGGCAAACCGGTAGCGGCGGAAGGCTCTGACCACCCGCCCAGATGCTTCTGTGCATGCGCAGAAGTGCCGCACAAGCACGTGCGCGCACAAGCGAAGCAGTAGCAACGGGATTTGGAACCGGCCCCTGGGCCAGAGGGCTGGAAGTGGAGATTATCCTTAGATATTTGATCCTTCTTCCCAGAGTGCAGTCTTCCCTCTACCCATCACTATCTTGATCTGCATCCCTTCCTTTCTATCCCCTTCAGAGTTCTCTATTTTGAAATAGTTTTCATTAAAAAAAAATTAGATACATAATAAGAAATACATTCAAAGAGAAAAAGAAAATAGATGTGAAAAAGAAAAAAGAGACAAAGAGCTAGAAAAAAGAAAACACACACACATTTATTCATAAAGGTAAAGGTTCCCCTCGCACATATGTACTAGTCGTTCCCAACTCTAGGGGGCAGTGCTCATCTCCGTTTCAAAGCCAGCACTGTCTGAAGACATCTCCGTGGTCATGTGGCTGGCATGACTAAACGCCAAAGGTGCACGGAACACTGTTACCTTCCCACCAAAGGTGGTCCCTATTTTTCTACTTGCATTTTTTACGTGCTTTCAAACTGCTAGGTTGGCAGAAGCTGGGACAAGTAACAGGAGCTCACCCTATTATGCAGCACTAGGGATTCGAACCGCTGAACTGCCAAACTTTCGATTGAAAAGCTCAGCATTTTAGCCACTGAGCTACTGCATTCCTTTTTATACCTGAATATATATGGAAGGGGTGTCCAATTTTCTCAGCAATTATACAAGTCTAACCAAAGTTCTCTCTCTAAGATTACATCATGATTCTTCTTTTTAAATAGTTTTTATTCTGTGCCCTTCAGAGCTCATGGTCTTGGACATCTGCCTACATTTAATGGTACTGTTACTAAGCCTCCTCCTATAGTCCATCTCCATTAAGACTCCTAATCAGTTTCTAGTTCAGAAGAAACCATGACAGAGGAAAGAGATGTATAAGAAAATATAGGTTTTTCTACAAGTTTTATGAAAAAAAATACTACGCTTAGTTATTTTCTACAGAATCCTTAATCAAAAAGGGTCCAGACCATACTGACATATTACAGTTATTTAATTATGTTTTTCCAATACCATTTTATATTTATTAAATCATCTCTATTAGATATTAAGCTTATTATTGGTACAGCATGTAAATAATTCAACACTTATATAAATTCTTATGGCAGGCATGAATTTTTAAATCCCAATTTGGTACTGAGCCAAGACCTCTTCATTTAAAAAAAACTGGGGAGGGTGAGAGGCTGCTTGCTTCCAACAGAAAAATAAATGCATGTTTGCCTGCATTTAACCAACTGCTGTTTTTCTGAAGCAACCATTTAAGTTATATTCATGCTTGGGAATTTTTTCTTTTTGTTTGTTTGCAGTTTTTCTTTTGTTGAAATCTTTAAATCTTCAAGCTACTGTGAATGAAAGACGTTTTGAACGCTACTTTGTCAATTATTTCTAACACGTAGTCAATGTATGATTAAAAGCTGGCCAGAGTGATGTCTGTTACTGGGTGTTCCAAGCCATTGTTTATTAGTTGTTCCTTTCAGAGAAGCCCATTTGCTTTGTGCTACTTGCCAATTATCTGGAGCTTCTAGCAGTCCAAATGCATTTGTGAATGTTAGTTTACGGAACAGTTTTTGTTGCTGTTGTTCTATTATTGAGAGGGCTTGAGCCACACTTTACATTTAGTAGAAGTGTTTCTTTAGCTTTTGAGGCAGATTCTTGGTTTTATTTCCTAATACGGTGATTCCCAGATCAATCCCACAGCTGATAAATGAATTGCTGTTGTGTCTTCAGGTGATTTTCTGTGTGTTCACACAGAATATTGTACCTGCAGTATACCTCTACTGAAATCTTTTAAAGCTGACTGACTTTTGATGGAAATAACCCCGGTATATTCCATTCAATTCCCTTCAGTTCTTTCATCCATTCTCCTCAATTCTGAGATCTGACATGGTAGTAAATAGAAACCAAACATGTCAGCTCATAAGAAATGAGGAAG